AAAAAAAAAAAAAAAAAAAAAAAAAAAAAGAGTGAAAAACCCATAAAACTTATGATGTTCTGTTAAGGTTAAAATATTGTGAAGATCCAACTTTGTTGGAGCAAAAGTTCTTGTTCAACAAATTGTACAGTATCTGACTTTTTCCTTCTATGATAAATCTGAAGCAAAGTACTACTGCAAATCATGTGTTGAAAGTGAATTCTTAACACTATGGCCTTTATATATTATAAAAACAGAAAATTCTTCTCTGGCATTATATTCCAGTTCTCCCATTTCCTTGAGTCTTCCTTTTTCCTTTTAATGATATGGGCTTTTTCTACTATGGATTATGAACTGTATTCCAGTTTAGAAGACTGCTTTTTATTTTTTTCTTTTCCCAGTAAATCTGTAAGAGAAAAAAGAAGAAAAGGTTTAAAAAACCTGTTCTACTATGTTAAAATTATTAGTTAAATAAAAGAATATGACTAAATAATATAAACAAGAAAAGGTTTGATTATTTTAACTTCTCTGTAGTCATCAGTTAAAATCAGGATCCAGGAAAATACACTTTCTGTGAGTGAACATAATAGGATTATTTTTAAAGGATGCTGGTGTGAATCCATTAACACTAAGTGTCTCCTTCCAAAAAAACAAAACAAAAACCAAAAAAAACAAATCAGAGAGCACAGTTGTATTATACCCATTTCTTCTCTTTAAAAATGTCAAGTTTAATGGTAATAAATCAAAACCTCCATGTTTTGAAGTAAGTCTTAACTCACACGGCACTTTAAAACATATTTCTGTGTTTTAAAAGTCAAACTAATCAATTAACGATTGCTTTAGTTTGTCACAGAACTGTTTTTACATTAAGCACTATTCTATTCCCTATATTATTAAACTATTAAAACATTTTTTTCAACAATATGGCAGTTGCATTTCCTGAATTCTCCTTAATTTTGTCTTATCAGCAATAGAGCAGGCAAGTTAACAATTTCATTGTGTAGCTCAGTATTTTCTGAGCCATGGATTGCCAACAGCTACTGATTCTACTGCTGGTGCAGAAGTCTGGCTTCTGAATTTATAGCAAAGGATGTTTATTTTGTATATTCATTATATGACTGGTTAAGAAAGTTAACACTAGCTATGACAACATCTTATGCTCAAAATACTGCATTATCCATTTAGGTCTGCATTACCAAGTCATTTGCATGCTACAACCTACTCATTTAAGATGGCAGCAGAAAAAAAAAACAAAACCTATTACTACCTAGTAGGCTAGAAAAATTTAAGAGGGGTGTGCATAGGGCAAAGAAAAGAAAACAAGCTAGAATTCTTGCCTCACTTAAGCTGAGGAGCAGAAATGCACCCCAGGCACCGCAGTGCATGTAAACCAGCTGTTAAAAATATACTGAGAGTTTTTAAAAGAGAAACTTCACTCCTATGATCATAATCATTTTGCTTCTACTGCAACAAACTTGCAGGTCATTTAAGTGTTACTTAACAGACAGACTATTATGTTTGTAGCTACAATGCTGTAGAACCAGTGGTAATTATTTTGCTGCGACTAGACCTGGACAAAACAATTCACTACTTTTTAAAACTGTACAGAAGATAGAATGTCAGATAGGGCCCAAAGTATTTGTTTTTCTGAAATGACCCCAAGGAGAAGAATTCTGAGATCTCCAGAAGTATCTTTGTTCCAATTCCTAGACCAGGGATGGGCAACCCAGCACACATGCCACAACAGCACGTGAGGCCATTTTGCTCAGCATGCAAAGGGCAGGGGAGAGGCCTCAGGGCCCAACCCCGCTGTCTGCTCTACAGCGCGCATGCACCGTACTGGCAGCAACTGCACACGCACTTCAGAGCGGATTGTGGGTAAGGGGCCTGAGGCAGCACAACTGTGGCCTCTCCCCCATGATCTGCTATAAGGTGCATGTGCACACCAAGGCACTAACCTGATGCTGGCCAAGACATGCGCACAGCACCAACCTCTTCCCAGTGGGGTGGCAGGCCCTGGGCTTTGCCAGGCCAGGAGCCTCCACCCATCCCAATGCCCCTGTTGCCACCTGCCCCACACAGCTGAGCCTGCAAAGACATATGGTGCCAGCCTCTTCCAGAGGCTGGGCAGGACCAGGAAAGGCTGCACCAGCCTTTTCCCAGTGGAGAAGCTGGGCTCAGAGCACGTGGGTTGAGCACATCTGCGTGGTGTAGGTGATGGCATCAGTGGCTGTGCTGGAAGGGGTGGAGTCTCCCGGCCCAGCCCCCCAGCCCTAGGAAGAGGCTGGCACCGTGTGCCTTTGCAGGCTGCGGCAGGGGCGTTGGGAGGAGTGGAGCCTCCTGGCCTCATGAAGCTGTCATACCTCCCCCCACACTGGGAAGAGGCAGGTCCCACTCCTGCCACACAGGGTGGGCACCGAGGGTAAGGCAAAATTTTGGTGTGGCTGTAGCGGCCTCCCCTCCCCCAAGCGCTGCCCATGCTCTGGGGACAGCGTAGCTGTTTGCAGTCTACTTGGCCTCTACTCCCATAAAATAAAATTTCTCCAGTCCCTTGATCCTCCCAGTAGAGTTCTTTACACATGCTCTAATTTGAATTGATCCTTCTTCAAACTCTGACAACCAGACCTGTACAGTACCTAGATGAGCTCTCAAAGCTATAAACACTCATGCCATATTTACCTGAATACAACACAAGGGTTTTCCCCCCTCCCCATTGGCATTAAATATATTATCATTAAACTGCTGCCAGAAGCAGCAGGTGCGCAGTAATGGGAACCAACTATGAAGCTGATTAAATACAGCCAGCACTGAGCATATCTTTAAGTACATGGCCCATATTGAGCAAACATATGGATGGGAACTTTTTTCTTTCGCAAGGAAAAAGAAGTGTCCCCAGTCAAATCAGCTAAATCAATTCCAAATCCATGTGAATCATTCAAGAACCATATGTGGCCCTGCTACCAGCAAGCATCCTCCACCCCTGCCCGGAGCTTCAGATACTTCCAAATCCTTTGGCAGACATCCTACATGCAGGCCGAAGCCCAGAGGCTCAGGTTTAGATGCCCCTGAGCTTTGCTTGCCTTCAGCTGTAGGACCACAGGAGCAAACTAGGGAGGAGTCTGCGCAGGGATGGGAACCTACCACAAGCAGCTTGTTCAAATGAGTAGTGCCCATTGTGCACAGCCTTTCCCTCAGCAGTGACTTTTTCAAGTCATGGGGAGCCACTACACTGAATACATTTCAACTTCCGTTTCACTCCCACAGCTGAGTTGTACCTTTCTTTCTCATTTCCATTGATTCCTCTTTCTTTAGCAACCTTAAATGTCTGGCAAATATTACCAGAGGTAGCCCCAAACTGTTGTTGACACAGAATCCCTCTGTCACCCCCTCTCTCACCCTGCTGTATACAAGTAGTGCGGCCCTGCACTGCATGAAGTGGAGCCAGACCAGGTCACCCTGTGCCTCATCTGGATATAATTTTTGAGAGGATTCCAGACTCCTGATGAGAACACCTGGTCCCAGCCATGAGTGAGGAGCTAATTAACACATGGATACTTGCGGGGGAGGGAGGGAGGGAGCGCAGGAGGCTATCTGGAGCAGTGCTGACTTGTGGGGTCACCATGGCTCAAAATGATGTTGACTCTGCCAGAGTCCAACCCAATGAAGTTTATGACAAATCATAGAAAAATAGGGTTGGAAGGGACCTCAAGAGGTCATCTAATCCAACTCTCGGCTCAAAGCAAATCCAACCCCCCGTTCAAAGCAGGACTGTCCCCAACTATATCTTCCCACCCAAGGCTTTGTCTAGATAGGTCTCAAAAACCTCCCAGGATGAAGATTCCACTACCTCTCTGAGTAATTTCAAGGTCAGTGGGTTTTTTTCATATTTGCCCTTCAATTCCCTGCTGTTCCCATGCACATGGTCTGACAGAAAAGGTGGGGGGTGGAAGGGGGTGCAGGGGAAAGAATTTAGGGAAGAAGGGCCAGAAGGCAAGGGGACTATCTGACCCTTGGGATTTATTTTCTATGCCTCCTGTGGCTGTGGGAGGGGGACAAATTCAAAGCAAACTTAGACACTTTCCAAATATAGTCTTAAATATTGGGGAACTGTCTTATATGCAGGGTCATCTTATATTAAAAAAAATGCAGTACTTTCCCAATCTCACCTAAAAATACCTCACCTGATGCATCTTAGGAATGCATTTACTTATTTCCCAGTTGCATATGAGTATATTAATTAATTAATGGAAAAGCAAGCTAGTTTGCATCTTCCTCCACTGGTCCTAAATAATGAACTCCAAACTTCCACCAGAAATTTTTATTACTCCTCAAATACACGACCGTTAATTTTTTATTGTTCATGGTTAATTTCCATTACTTCAGTCTTTGAGGTCATCTAATTTTTCCTCTAGCATACACATTTCTTCTCTATATAGATGATGCTTTCATACTTTACATCTGCAGCAAATTTCACTAGCACAATCCTATTTTGTGCCAGTCAGTGACTAAAGATGATCAGTCTCAAAATGCATGCTCTGTCCTCTTAAGTCATTTCTTTACCCACCTTACAATTCTCCCACTTATCTGCATCATTTCCAGTTTAACTAAATTACCCATCACATACTGTATCAAATGCTATACTTAGAGACAAGTTGGATCTACTTAATTTCTCTCATTTAGAGAAGCATATTATCTGGCATGTTCTACCTTTGGAAAATGTCATGTCGTGTTATATTCCACTTTCTATTTCTTCCACATCTCTAGTTATTCTTCTTTCAAAAACTACTCTAAAGCAGTGATTCCCAACCAGGGGGCCAGGGATAAGTGAGGTGTGATGAGCTAAGCAGATAAGCAGGCTCAAGCTTCAGGTGTGAGGAGATAAGCAGATAAAGCAGGGGTGGGCAATTATTTTCA